ATAGATAGATAGATAGATAGATAGATAGATAGATAGATAGATAGATATAGCTTAATAGAGAGAGAGAGAGAGGACAGAGAGAGAGAGAGAGAGAGATACATAGGTAGACAGACAAACACACAGTGACAGACAGATAAATGATAGGTAATAGATAAGAGAGATATAGAGATCTAGATAGATGACAGCACACAGAAGATAGAGGACAAATAGGTAGTATAGATAATTGATCAAAGGTCTGCGTCGTCCGAGTCCCAATGTCTCTTCCGCCGAGTGCCTTTTCCTCCTCCAGGACTCCCTTCCGGGTCGAAGGGGAGCCTCAGCCTTGGCACACACCGCCCCCCAGAAGGGCGCCAGGGCTGCTAACGCGCCTCTCTTGGGCCTTGCAGGGGAGCTGTACATCGGAGGCTTGAGCAAGAACATGTTCAACAACCTGCCCAAACTGGTCGCTTCTCGGGACGGTTTCCAGGGCTGCCTGGCCTCCATGGACCTCAACGGCCGACTCCCAGACCTCATCGCCGACGCCCTGCACCGGATCGGGCACGTCGAGAGGGGCTGTGACGGTGAGAGGGCCAAAGGGCACCGGGCCCGGGGCTGGGGGGGGGGGGGGGGGGAGGAGGGGAAGGCTCAGTCGCAGTTTGTTTGCTTTGGCTGGGTTCACACCCAGAGGTCAAGATAAAGGCAGAGGGAGAAAGGGAAGAGAAGGGGAGGCAGGAATCTGGGGCAGGAGCGGGGGTACCCAGCGCCCATTCTCCAGCCCCCCCTTCAGAAATGGACACTGGCCTCTTTGATCTTTTCAACCCCAAAGAACCTGTTCAGGCGATGAAGCATTGCTGTGGGACCCCTTCCCTTCTCTCACCGCACCCAACCCCCCAGGAGGGACACCTGTTCCAGATAGCCATTTGTGGCCGGGCAGGTTGCCTTTCATAAGGGAACAGAGCAGCCTCTATTTATTTCCTTCCTTCCTTCCTTCCTTCCTTCCTTCCTTCCTTCCTTCCTTCCTTCCTTCCTTCCTTCCCTCCCTCCCTCCCTCCCTCCATTTCCTTTCTTGCTTCTCATCCTCTATTTCCTCCCTCCCTCTCTGCTTCCCTCCCTCTTCCCATCCTTCCTGTCTTTCCTCTTTCCCTTTCTCCTTCCTCCCTCCTTCCTCTCCTCCTTCCTGTCTTGCTCCCTCCCTTTCCTCTTTCCCATCCTTCTTTTCCTTCCTCCCTCCCTCCACCCACCCATCCATTCTGTGAATTTAGCTGTGAGGTAAAGTCAGCCAATGACCAGCTCTCTGGGCGCTGCACCTTCTGTGAATGAGGCCTCTGTGCCTTTTGTGAACCGACCTCTAATTCGGGTGGAGGCTTGAAATGAGGCTCTGTCCTCCCTTTCGGGCGTTCCCCTCGGCTTAGACAACATGGGAGAGAGCTGGCCCGCCTGCCACCTGTCTGGAGGTGAACCCCACCTGATTTGAATTAACAACTTCAGGCTCTATTGTAGCCTTCCTGCCATCCCAGCCAATTAGTTCAATCAGGAAGCTATGATTAAGCAAAGAAGAGCCGGCTTGAGTGCTGTGTTAGGTAAACACCTGTCCACGTCTCAGAGGCAGGTGAGGACATTAAGGTTGCTTTATCCCGACATGACGTGAACGCAGTGATGGAGTTTGCATAACGCCAGGCTTCATCCGATCAAGCAAAAACTGAATGGCTTCATTCCCCCAAACGTGCCTTGGCTGTGTTAACTTAGGTTTCTTTTTGTGTGAGAATGCAGCCCACCAACTGAAGGTCCAGCGCTATTCAAGGTCAGAAGGTCCAGTGCTATTCAAGGTCATGCGCCAATCCAGAGGACTGAACCCAGACAGGAATTTAATTTTGGTCACCTGGCTTTAGAGCCATTGCTTCTCACCCTTGGCCTCTTAAAGAGGTGTGGACTTGAATTCTCCCAGAATTCCCCAGCCACATCCCTTAAAGCACGCTGGCTGGGGAAATTTGGGACTAGAAGTCCACCCATCATGAAGCAGGCTGACTGGGGGATTCTGGGAGCTGAAGCCCACCATCTTACAGGATGCCGGCTGGGGAATTCTGGGACTTGAAGTCCATAACCTCTTAAGCCATGCTGGCTGGGGAATTCCGGAAGCTGAAGCTTGCCCATCTTACAGGATGCCGGTTGGGGAATTCTGGGAGTCGAAGGCCACGCCTTGTCAAGTGGCCAAGCTTGAGAACTCTGCTTTAGTGTTTCACGTTGTATGAACACACTTGCCTTTGCCCCCTCCCAATACAGCTCAGTGGGCCCCAGATTTTCCAGAGCAAGTTTACCCTCTAATTCTCGGGGAAGTTTGCAGTGCCCTTCCTGGCTGCCACTCTGCCCTTACAGTAGTGCCCTGGCTTGGAACCGTCCGTTGACTCTGCTTCCTCCCCACTCCCCCCCCCCGCTCCCCAGGCCCCAGCACCACGTGTACGGAGGACTCCTGCGCCAACCAGGGCGTCTGCCTTCAGCAATGGGACGGCTACACCTGTGACTGTACCATGACCTCGTACGGCGGCCCGGTGTGCAATGACCGTGAGTAGCCGGAGAGTTGGGAGGGAGGGTGTGTGTGTGTATGTCGTGGGGGAGCAGCCACAGGAACACAGTCCTGCCAAGAGGCCTCGGGGTGGGTGGGAAATAACTCTCCCCCCAGGGGTGGGATTCTATCAGTCCGCACCTATTCGCTAGAACCGGTTGTTAACATTCTAAGCGGTTTGGAGAACCGGTTGTTAGAAGAAATTACTGGGCTAATCCTGTAAGGAAGGCAGGAAGGAAACATTCTGGGGTTGCTTACAGAAACTGCCTCCCCGTTAACCCTTATTACATTCTTGGCGGGACTAGACTTCCTGTCTCTGGAACTTCTCTGGAGTTATTTTCCCCTCCTTTGCTGGCACTGTGTGGAGAGACCATTCAAAGTCACAATGGCACAGAAAAAAGTGGCTTATGACCTTTTTTCACACTTACGACTGTTGCAGCATCCCCACAGTCACGAGAGGCCAGGCGAGGAGATGTGTGCCTCGATGTGAGTGATGTTGAGTTGGCCACGCCCAGCCAATAACATGACCCCCAAGCCATGTCCACCCAGTCACATGACCACCAAGGCACGCCCACCACCTAAGCCACGCCCACAGAACCTGTTGTTAAAAAGTTTGAAGCCCACCCCTGCCCCTCCCCCTTTGGAAGACCAGGGGGCCTTTCTGCTCAGCCTTAATCGGAGCCCGTCAAGTCCAGGGACAATTCCAAACCTGATCCCTGCAGTGGATCCTTGTTAAAAGGTGGCTTGCAGGCTCAAATTCTACAAAGGCAGGTTCTCAGGGGCGGCTCTTTGATCTGACTTGTTCTGCCTGCCGAGATTGCAGATCTCCTGGGGGAGGGGAGGGGAGGGGAGAAGAGATACGTGGGTTAGGGGACCCCCCCCCCCATCTCCCTCCCCTGCTTCCACTCCAAAAGACACGGGGCCGAAGAAGAAGAGGAAGCTGCCCATTCATGCCACAAACCACCCCTGGGTACACTTGAGGGCCGAGCCCTTGAAGAGCCCAGCTGGGAACTGGGCAGCCTCCATGGAGTTCCACCCACCCAATTTCCCCTCCCTTCTTACGCTCGCCCTTCCCCTCAGGGGGAGGCGGCCCGCTGGGAGTCTCGGGAGTGGCGCTGCTGCGCGGTGCCTGAAGACCAGCAGGTTTGTCAAAGCGGGGAGGCTGAGGTTCGTGTGGTAACCGTAGGAGAAGAAAAGAAAAGAAAAGAAAAGGAAGGTGGGATAAAAAAACATCAGAAGGCAGAAATGCCAAGGAGGAGATTGTGGAGGTAGGCTGGGCTTTTTACTCAACCTCACGGCAACTTGAAGAAATGTGGACTGCAACTCCCAGAATCCCGGTTGGCTGGGGAATTGTGGGAAGTCCTCCCATCTTAAAGTATGCTGGCTGGCAGATGGAAGTCCTCCCATCTTGAAACCTGCTGGCAGGGGAATTCTGGGAG